TGGGGTGGCGGTGCGGGTTTTGGTGTGTTGGTGTGTGTGTGTGTGTGTGTGTGTGTGTGTGTGTGTGTGTGTGTGTGTGTGTAGTCCTATGTGGGAATTTTTGTGAATAATTATGTAAATTTTTCGTATAAGCTTTTATGTGTAAGTGAGTGAATCTTTGTGTAAGTGAAACAATGAGTCAGTGCTAGGTTGGCATCGATAAAAGGAGTTGATGAGTTTGTAGAATGAGTAGAAAGTGAGTGGAAACTTTTTCTTCATGCTCCTAAAATGAGGTCAAAAAAACCTTCCCTCATCTCTTTTTGCGTCAGTAAATGTCATTTTTCACTTCCACCCCTCAAAAATGTCATTCTGGCTCTTGAAGCATATCAGTGAAGACACAATAGTTCCTATCAAGACGACGTGCAGGAAGCTCGGCTTTTCCGTCATTTTGTCATTAGCGCTTCTTGTGTTTTTTGTTGTTGCGGTGGCGCTCAGTCAAGATGTCTGCCTCTAATAAGGTCTATTGTTCAATACATATTGTCCTTTTAAAGGCTGCTCTTCAGTCTGAGATAGACAAAGTGTTCTGTTTGTTGAGTCGTTGCCATTCGCCACCACGCTCTGCACACGCAATGACGAAAAACTCAAAATATTTCAAAAGTTGGTGTCCCCAGTTTGTCGCGTATAATTGGTTCAGGTATGGTGGCAATCATATAAAATGTCTCGGACACGTTTTCCTGTTAAGGACCCCTGGAAATTGCTGATATGACCCAAAAATAGTCACTTCAAGTCAATTTCCTGTGCCTTGTCTATTTTTTTTTTTTTTTTTTGCTTGGAACTGAATTATTAGTTATTTGTTTTCTCGTGAGTCATCAAACTTTGTCGTCATGCTCCACCCACGCACATAAACACTAAAATGCTTTGCAATTAAATCTCACCCATCTGTCTGGAATATATGTCAGGAAGCCTTTTGTTTTTTTTTTTTTGGTAGCATTGTAACAAAATTTCTCAGACAAATTTGCCTTTCAAGGACAACCTGGAAATGGCTGTTTCAAAACCAAAATATCAGACTTCCTCTGATATCTTATCCATGTCTTTTTGAGACTTTTTTTGAAGGGGGTGGGATTACGCCTGAAAAAAATTTCTAAAACTTTCAGGAGGCCAAAATTCATCAACATTTTCCCACCATTTTTTCCCCCAAAAGTACTTTGACAAAAAGACAATTGTTTCACAATTTAGCTTGGTACATCTGGTCAAAAAGTCCCCAAAATGGCTGCTTCGATCCAAAATGGCAGACGTCCTGTGTCTATTTGGGCATTGGTTCTTGAGACTTTTTTTAATAGGTCTACATATGATACACATGTCTACAAAATTTCATGTTGCTTCATGAAACTGATTTTGCAGGTTGAAATATTTTTGGGGAGCATTAATGGTCCCTTGACTATATTTCGGTGATTATGTCCCACACATTCTGCTTATAAAGACGTGAGCAGTCCAGTACTATGAAAAAGTTTTACAAACGGTTTGTGTTGTTCTGTGTTATTTTTTTAAATTGCAATTTCAACAACAACACCAACAACAGTAACAAAAACAAATAATTAAAATACAAGCAGAAGATTAAAGATTGTCTCGTCTTCATATTTGTCCCTCAGACCATCATGAAGACGCTGGTGGCGCTCCTGCTGCTGCTTTGTGTTGATGGCGCGCATGGCGACTGTCAGGATGTCTGCCTGTCCTGCAGCCTCATCCTGCCCAAACAGCTCACCTTCAACACTATGGTGAGTACACGTTGCACGCGTGCACACTCTGGCACACACTCGCGCACACTCGCGCACATTTGCTATTTGTTAAGCTTTCCCTGACAGACTCAATTTTCATTTGCTGATAAGAGCTAAACCTTCCACTTCTAACTCTGCGTGACTCAACAAATTAGCCTTTTGGCATTTGACTTTTACTAATTTGTTGTGGCTAATTGATTCCGGGGGATGCATACGCGCGCCTCTCGACAAGTCGACACTGGAGAAGACATTTGAGGGCATGAAGAAAAGGCACAAATGATGATTTATTGCCTTTTGACAGCACCGATTGCGGCTCAGTTAACCCTTATTTACAAGGGAAGTATTCACAGGACAATGTGTTTATCAGAATGATTTGAAGCGACTAGTGTTAAGCATCCAAACATTTGGACGTTCTTGTTTTGCCCCGTTCATTCGGTCTTTTGTTACCACCTGTTCCCGTCAACTAAAATGTTGACTTCCTGTTCACTTGGGGTCATTGGGTCTTTCTAACTTTTTTGTGTGCATTATAAGAGACACGTCGACCGAGTTTTGTGCTGATCAGTGAAGATGGTGTCTGGGACTAATTTTAAAAATCTTAATCAACAATTTTTTTTCTGAATTAAGAAGTACGATACAATTTTGGGTCCATGTTGAGACGTAAGTTATGGTTATAAACACATAAAATGCACTTAAAAATCAACTACACCATAAAGTAAACGATACTAGACTGAAAAAGATGTATCTAAATCCAGATGATGCTTTTATGTGCAGCCACTTGACAAAATAAAATTGAGTACATTCAAGACACCATTTTTTTTCAGTGTCGTCTAGTTTTTCTTCTTCTGGAACTCGAAAACTCAGCAGTTTTACAAATATGTGTATCCTGATGAAAATTTTGTGGTACTCACCACAATCCCACAAAAATCAAGATGTTTGCTTTTTTCTCTTATATTTTACAGACGTAAGATAATGTGGACTGAAAATGTCAAAAAAAGTTTCATGATTATGTTCAGAATTTTGGGAACCCCCCCCCCCCCCGTCCCAAAAAATAGCCCCTGTCACCAGTTTCACAAATTTACTCGAAATCGGGTGGACAATCCTACCATAGCAAGACATCTGTAAAATGGCAAGGACCCATGTGTGATTCGTTCTTGTAACTCTCCATTGTTGAGGCTTCTCTTTCTTCTGGCATAATGAAAAAAAAAAAAAAAAACAAAGAAAAAGTATGCCGGGTTAATCCTTTGATCTTTTTCCCTGTCAGGAGTGTCTTTTTGCATGTCAGGGTTCCATCTCCCCGACATCCTCCTGGGACACCTGCCGTGGATCCTTGTCGCTGTCATCTATGCCCAAAAGATCCCAGGAGGAAGTGGAGGCCTTCTTCCCTGCTGAGGAGGAAGACAATGGAGAGAAGGAAGGGGAGGAGCTGCCCTTGGCCTTGCAGAGGTTCGATCACATGACCCGAGAGCTGGGGCTGGATGAAACGGACGCGGGTACCCACGATCCTCTGCCCTTGGACGAAGAGTATGAGGACTCCGACGCCAGCGACGTGGCTCTGAGCGTCTCCAAGCGGTTTGGCGGCTTCCTGAAGGGCCGCCATGGCTACAGGAAGCTGATGGCCCCGGCCAGGTCCTACCAGAAGCGCTACGGCGGTTTCATCGGCATCCGCAAGTCGGCGCGCAAATGGAACAACCAGAAACGCTTCAGCGAGTTCCTGAAACAGTACCTGGGCATGAGCACTCGGGCCACAGCGTACAACAGCGTCTCGGAGGAGCTCAGCCGGCACAACCAAGTGTAGCGCGGCAACCGACGCCGTCACGCCCCCCGAGGTCCTGCTCGTAACCTCAGATGGATTTACACCGCAGGGCCCAATTCTCAGTTTGTGCCTGTGTGTGGACCGTCTGTTTACATCTGCTGTACTGTCAAGTGACACATATCTGGTATGACTGTGCTTCTATGTAAGATGCTTAATGGTCGCTTCCTCTCGTCTAAATCGCTTGTAAGTAGGGGTGTGAATAATCCGTGTATCATTCGTTCTTTCGTTTTTCAACTGCCAATCGAAAACAAAAAATTAAAAAGGAGACTAATCCACGATTGGCAGTTGAAAAACGAAAGAACGAATGATACACGGATTGGTGTGCATCTCTCCACAAAAGACGATTCAATACGATTCCAGATACATTGGGCACGATACGATTTCAAGGATGTGACGATTTGGTTCAATTCAATGGGATTTGGATTTGATTCAATGTGGTACGGCTGTAGTATTTGTCATGTTTATTAATTCACAACAACATATTAAAGCTCCGCGGAGCCCAAATTATCCAAGTAAATTAAATAAAATTAAATTAAAAGAAACAACAAATCATCACACGGCAACATCAAATTGATGGTTTTCATCTCTCAGAAAAGACAATTTCATTGATATTTCGATACACGGGTTGCGATAAGATTTAAGGATGCAACGATTGTAAAACGTTTTGGTTCATTAGGTCAAATCCAAATTTTCGATTCAAATCGTTTTTTTTTTTTTTTTTTTTTTTTTTAGTTACACCCCTACTTGTAAGGTAAGTTCATTTAGACAGTTCTCCGCCCAGTTTGGTTTCTGTTCAGACTGCATTCTGAAAAGCAAGCATAAAGGATTTGGTCTCAAGTCTTCAGGGTGTTCGTTCACCTTGACTTGGTCTTGACTCCTCAATCACTCTAGATTATTCAAACTCTTCAGATTCACCACCAACATGATTTGGTCTTGATTGGTCAGTCTTGATTTGGCACTGGTGCAACATTAAGACTTTCTGAGTAGGGCCACAATGAGCCAAGTTGTGATGGCCCTGTCAGTTTGATGTTAAAAACCTACCGTGTTACTTGGATGTGAGCTTTTTGGGAAGCTATTTGGACTTTTTTGTTTCTCTATGTCTTTGAACTGACTGATTTTACTCTGCTACCATCTTGTGGTACAAAAGAGAACTCCATCGCCAAATGCTAATGCTAATGTGTGACAAGTGGCCAATGGATGATATTAAACGAAAACAAAAAACAAACAAAAAAAAAATCCAAATTATACGAATTCACCTCTGAGTCAGACAGTGAGGCTTTCAACTTCCATACAGGAGAATATGCTCATGAACATTACACACTATGTATAGTACTAACAAATGATGTGTGGTATTTTAACTTGCCATTGTGTTAGTTTTAGTTTTTGGGTGATTGAAAATATCTGAAATGTAAATATATGTCCGTAAATAAAAATAGATAATTATTTCTTCTGTGGCTCGTCATGCAGCAAATGTTTCAGTTGTCCTGGGCTGTTTTCTTCATGGTAGAATTATTCTTTGAACAACACAGGGTGCACCAAAAATAGTTTTTGATTACGACATTTTAGTTATTACTACAACATTTAATAAAGACGGTTTAATCTCGTAAACTCAAAAGTATGTTTTTTCGCCTGTTTATAGGTTAGAGTTTCAAATCATGGATTCAAATCAACCTGGTTTAAAATTTAAAAAAACGACTTAAGTTTAAAATGACAGCTTCAATGCCAGCAACTCAGGTTCCAAATCCTAGTGCGGGTTTGATTGATCTGGTGAAGACCCGAGAAGTGATGATAAACCCATTCCTTCCTTCCTTCCTTCCTTATCATCCTCCTGGCCTTCCTTACATATATCCATGCTTCCTTCCTTCTGTCTTTCCTTCTTTCTTCCATCTTGTCTTCCATCATTTCTATCTTCTTTAAATAAGTTAATTTTAAGAGTATACTTATTTTTGGCCTACCTTTGTGTGTGTAAATATTCATTCATCAAATATATGAAACGCTTTATCCTCCCAAGGGCCGTGGTGGAGCACGGTCAGGAGGTTGGATACACACTGAACTGGTTGCCAGCCAATAGGTAACACATAGGCAAACAACAACCCACCCTGGAAGGCCACCCCTGAACATGTTGTTATCATAACACATAATAATATCCACCCCATCATCCACCCTGAACTGGTTGCCAGCCAATCGCAGCATAATAATATCATCCGTGATGATATCTACTCAACACGCTGACTCACTCACTTGAGCCAACGTTCAACCTTGTATGACCATCCTGTCCTTTCAATCTCGGAAGTGTGTTTGTCTGTCATCATCAAATACACCACGACTACACTCACACACTCTCTACAAAGCAAATAAAAAATACAAGGGAGCACTGCAAAGCATGCTGGAAAGTGCGCTGCATCTCCATCGCACCAGTACGTGTTAGATTTATTTAAACAAAAAAAAAACTGTACAGTGCTAAATTATAACCTCTAATATATCCTCCAATACCTTATAATAATGAATACATTTGTGTTTTTATGCCACGTTTAACGTGATACAATAGGATAGTAGCCTTTCAAAACAAACCCAGCCGTTCACTTTTACGTTGAAAAGTCATCCAGAAGTAACTTCCGCTTACACTTCTGCTAGCTTGCCTGACGACTGACTACTCAATAGCTTTGCCTTGGACCCAAACAATAGGCCCTTCCGTCATCACAACACGATCCAGTGCTCACTCGTGTACATGTATACTGACGCCGAAATTCCGCTGCGACTGACTTAGTTGGTAAGTGAGAAAGACGACCAGAACGGCAGTCAAAGCAGAGCCGCCCTTCTCCATTTTGTTGACATTTAGATACTTTCCCCTTCGACATTTTTTGCTACTCGCTCGTTAGCATTAGCCGCGATGTCTGTCACTCGGCGTGACAACTCCCACACCGAGGGGTTGAAACACCAACACATGTAACAGTTTAACAGGTTTACAAAACAGCGAAAATGCCGTTAAGGCATAAATACATCCAGCACAAGCGAATAAAGTCCGGCGTGTGCTAAAGCTCGCGAGCGGTCAGCTGTGTCAGGACATACGTTCAAGGCGAGCAGAAGTGGAGTCCATTTGTGACTCCTGAAGGACTTTTGTAAGTGAACTTGGCGTGATGCGTGATTTAAAATATTTCTTCGTGCAGTGCCTCTCAACTGCCAACCTCGGCGTGCCGCATTTCGTACATAGTCGCAAGGATTTGACTCGCTTTTATTGATATTAAGAAAAGACAAAATGTACAGCGGAAACAAAAAAAAAAACGACTCCCCTAACAGTTGGAGATATTCGTTTTTCGAGTGAAATTTCAGGATGAAACTAAAATGCACGTTTCCAACTGAATTTAGACTGCTTTTGAATCTCCAATATATTTCCAATGACGTCCCTTTCTGTGACTCCTTCACTCAGTTTCAACCTCTTGATGAAAATTGCAGCTGCAGCTTCTTCATAGCAAACTTCATGGCTTGAAAAAAAATAAAATACTATCAATGTCCAGCAACATTTGAACGGCCTTGACAACCTTGCTGTTGCATTCTCTGCTGATGTTTTAACTTTTAGGGGAAATCAAATCTGTCCCTGTAGTCACGTGATAAGCAGTTTGGTTTTCATTTCCAGTATCTTACTATACCAAATGTGAACCAAAGTGTGACCTTAAAATCAAAGCAATATCCTGAACACCGGTGTTTGGTAAACAATAACTTGCCTCCTGAAGACTTGGAGCCTCACCTGTCTTTTGAACTGCTACTGAAATCTTCCGTTATGCGTTTAAGAAATATGAATGTTAGATTTTTTTTGTTGTTTTTGTTTTTTTGTGTGCGTACCAACAGAGAGCACAGCCAGCCATGTGTAGCTGTGTGCAGAGCTACAGGGCTCTGTCCCCTGCCCTGCTCCCCAGGCTGCTTCTGCCTCACACCGGTTACACATTGGCCGGCAAGGGCCTGTCGACCTCCACGAACTGCATGCAGGCGGGGAGCGGGGACTCCTCTCAGCCGCTGCCACTACCCAGCCAGGCCCGAGTGGTCATCTGTGGAGGGGGCATCGTGGGGACTTCGGTGGCGTATCACCTGGCTAAGCTGGGATGGACTGATATCGTTCTCCTGGAGCAGGGCAGGTATGACATCTGATGGAGCATTCGTCCATTTTCTACTTGAGTCAAGTCCTTCTACTGTCAGGATTATATTTTTCATTGTTTTGTTTTTTGACAGACTAGGAGCAGGAACCACCAAACTTTGCGCTGGTATTGTCAGTGTAGCAAAACCCATCTCCATTGAATGCAAAATGGCCGACTACTCCAATGCTCTGTACAAGCAGCTTGAGGAGGAGACTGGCGTCAAAACGGGTAAGCCGTCTTTGTGTCCCGTCAGGCATCCGTCTTAGAATTTGCCCTCCATTTTCTGTGTTTCAGGCTACGTGAAGACAGGTTCTCTGTGTCTGGCTCAGAATCAGGACCGCTTCATATCACTGAAGCGCCTCGCGTCAAGACTCAAGTGAGACTTTTTGGTCACATTTATTGTGAATATGGGTAAATCTCTCAATTGCAGAACTGGACAGCAATGTTCTCGAAAATACACTTCCAAAGAGACACAAAACATGAGAAGTCATCATTGATGGTACATGGTGAACACATATCGTTAAATTTCAGCCGAGTGAGATTTTAAAAGCAGGGGCGTCATTCCATCTCATTTCCATGGCTGGTCACCTTGTGATTTCCCTCAGAGGGCCGTTATGAAAATCATATTAATGCATCCCGTTATTAAATACACAGCACAATTACCGTTACATTTCTTTATTGCCCTGTATCTAATTTTGACAACAAATAGTTTGAAATCAGAGGTCATGAAAAAGAACGACAACAACATATTAAATTAAACAAATATAGAAATAGAAACAGACATAAATAAATAAATAACATTAAATAAGTAGCGTTAGGCAGGAACAGATACTGATGTCTGCAGGGATGTTTATGCGAAATAAACCGTCACCTCTCTTTCTCTGTTTTTCCAAGGGTGATGGGAATCAGCTGTAACATTGTGAAACCCAAAGACGTGACCAAACTCCACCCCTTGGTGAACATTCACGACCTAGTGGGGGCGCTCCACCTGCCTGCCGACGCTGTGGTGTCGCCGCCAGATGTCAATCATGCCCTGGCCGTGGCGGCAGCCGGACAAGGCACGGCACACGGTTTTGTACTTAATTACCAAAAGCGCATGCCTAATTCTTCCTTCTTGTTGTGTCTCCCCACTCAGGGGTTCAAATCCTGGAAAGAACCGCCGTTCAGCAGGTCCTGGTGGAGAAGGGCCACGTGATGGCGGTGGAGACGGACCGCGGCTCCATCGAGTGTGAATATTTCGTCAACTGTGCTGGACAGGTATAAAAATAAAGGGCGCTTTCACCCGCGAGGCTTATCGTGAAATGCAAAACTATAAAGCTGTGTGCGCGTTGAACTTCCACTTGATTATAGTATTATGAATACAATTTAAAAAAATGCACCACTATCATCAAGCTCGAATGATCATTTTAGGCTTGAGTCTGCAAAACCAACCCGAAGAATGCCCACGAATCATTGCGCTTTCCTTTCTGAATGTGTTGCTTTAGTGGGCGTACGAGCTGGGCCAGGCGAGCGAAACCAAAGTCTCTGTCCCTCTGCACGGCTGCGAGCACTTCTACCTCCTCACCAAACCTCTCCAGGAGGACCTCCCGGCCGACACGCCAGGTCTCACGCCTCGCTATTGTATAGTGATGCATCACTCCTGATTGCCCCTAATGTAAAATTTAAAAAGTATTTATATATTAAAAAAAAAGTAATACATTTTGTTGCTCTTAAACATCTACTTCGCACTTCTGGGCAACCTGACTGTTGTTTTCTGTCATTACAAAACACACAACTTTAAATGCAGTGTCTTTTTGATTTATCAGAATGGTCACGGAATGAATTAAGTCAAGGTACCATTGTGTGTGTCTTCCAGTGGTGCTCGACATGGACGGCAGGATATACGCTCGGCCGTGGCAGGGAGGCTTGCTTTCGGGGGGCTTTGAGAAAAATCCCAAGCCCATCTTCACGGAGGGACGCAACCAGCTGGAGATTCAGAACATGCAGGAGGACTGGGACCACTTTGGTGAGGAACAGTAGAAAAAGGGGGTTTGTTCAATGATTGTTTATGAGCATTCCAGCCCCCCTGGGACACAAATTAGCCGTTATTTTAACCCAGTGAGCAGTTGAAAGTGGCTTTCGGTACCCATCACGACAGTTTGTGCGAGTGTTTTTTTTTTTCTCTGAACAAGACTTTTGTTCTTTCCCTTTTGGCTCACCCCTGCTCAGTAAAATCTAGAGAAACAGCAAGTGAAACCTATTTTTAAACCACCCTGCCTGAAATGTTCTTCCCTGACGGAGGTTTGCTTTAAAGATGTTGCATTTAACTACCTTTGTTTATGTGAGTGTTTTTTTCTTTTTTCCACCATCAAACATTTTTATTAGAGCACACAGGCTGCTTTAATAAGCGTTATCCATTGGACTCTGGCCAATGTTCACCTTACCACACTCATGTGAGCAACACTCCTTAGCATGGGCGACCTTGAATGCAACTCGGTAATGTAATCTGAGAGTACAGAAGCCTGAGAGGTGGTCGTAAAGCCTGAGCCAAACTTGGCTTCCTTTCGGCCTTTTGTATCTGAGAAAAGAAGCGGGGAAAATGTACTGTTTGCCAATTCTACTCCTTAAGTGCAATGTGAAATATAAAATGTATCATGAATCAAGTAATTTGCTAATGCTTTGTAGAATTGACCGAGTCCATTAAACATGGGATCTTAAGCAAAAGACATTTTGAGATAAGGTGTGCAACAGATGTTTTGTTTTGTGATGAAAAATACTTGTAGTGTTTTTTTCAGTTGGTCATGGTCAAATTTATGAGCCCTCAAATTCAAACCGAAATAGATGTTTCAAACCAAAATAACTGGCGTCCTGTTCAATTTCGGTTGCTGAAACGGGGTCTCTCCTCGTTCCTTTCAGAGCCGATGCTCAGCGCGCTGCTGAGGAGAATGCCTGGTCTGGAGTCGGCTGAGATCCAGCAGCTGGTCAACTGCCCCGAGTCCTTCACCCCTGACATGCGCTGTCTGATGGGCGAGACGCCGGGCCTTTCGGGCTACTACGTGCTGGCCGGCATGAACTCCTCGGGTCTGGCGTTCGCCGGAGGAGCTGGCAAGTGAGTCGGGGACGGGGTGTCGTCGGTGCACTGCACTAAACTAAAGCAGTAGTAAAGTTGGACTTACTGTAAATATTTGTATGCAAAACACCCCTTGGCCATAAATATAAATAAAACCAGTCCAGTGAAAAACAGTAAGTCGGGGCAGTATCTTAGGGAGTGCCTTTTTGAGCGACGCAGAAACTAGTTTGTGTGCTGATCATAACCTTGAAACTCCACGTCAAGATTCCTCAGTATGAAGAACCTGTTGGATATTGTTGAGAGAAAAAATATATTTCTCAGTAATCTCAGGAGAATTCAGTCACTTTTCTTTAAAGTAAAATGTTGGATATTCTCAAGAAAAAAAAGGTACTTTTTTTTTTTAATCTGATCTAACAAAAAAGTAGTATATATTTTTTTTTATTTAAAAATGGTAACATTACGAGACTAAAGTCTCAGAGGTCTTATTGTTTTAGAGAAAAAATGAGAATATTCATTGTATTGCCTCACATTTACAATTTGCCACTTTTGGATACGGCTACATTATTCGCATGATTTCTGGGTTGGGAATCGGTCTTCCGTTGTTTCAAAAAATATTCATTGCATTTAGAAAAGGCTTTTTGACTATAGCCTTCTTCCAAAATGGGCTAAATGTATTCTGTCCATGAAATTCTGATGATCATGATTTATTCTTTTGTGAATTTTTTTTCACAATTTTACTTTTAAAAAAGTCAGTGTTTCCACCTTCTGTTCAGTGCTGTGTCTATGCAGCAAGTTAAACTCCACAGAAAATGTCTCCTGTCCCAATAAATGTATTTATTTATTTTTTTTAACCCCAGATATCTGGCTGAGTGGATGACCTACGGTTACCCCACTGCCAACGTGTGGCCGCTCGACATCAAACGCTTCGGCAACCTGCAGAGCAGCCGGACCTTCCTGCGACACCGCGTTATGGAGGTCATGCGTGAGTTGCCATTTTGTTGTCAACGGCCACACGATTCACACATCTTGAATCTGGAAGGGCACTTAAATCCGGCCTGCTGCGTGTGTGTGTGTGTTTGTATTTGTGTTTCCAGCGCTGTTGTACGAACTAAAGGTTCCTCGCTGGGACTTCCAGACAGGTCGGCAACTTAGGACAAGTCCATTGTATGACCGACTGGACACGCAGGGAGCTCGCTGGATGGAGAAACACGGCTTTGAGAGACCCAAATACTTTGTTCCACCGGGCAAAGGTACACAAGACTTTCTAAAAATATGACCGTGAATGGTTGTTTGTCTGTACGTGCCTGGCAGCCAGCCGAGGGTACACCCTGCTCATCGTCCGCTAGGATCGGCTCCAGCACACCTGCGGCCCGAGTGAGGATAAGCGCTCTTGAAAATGGTTGGATAGATGCAAAGCCGTATAAAGCAAAGTGCGGACAGTGACGAGTACAGCAATTAGGAGTTGGTGAATCACGCAGTACGGATGGACCGCTCACACAACAGGGACAGACAAAACCACAGCCGTATAATCGGAAAGTCAGCGCCTTGTTGTTCACTGCAAAAAGTGTCCAGACTTTCCTTTTATATGGCTTTAGATGGATGGATGAAGGTTGCGATGATCATGAATAACCGGCATTCGAATTGTCGTTTGTTCATGCAGATCTTCTCTCTCTGGACCAGAGCAAGACCTTCTACAAGCCCGACTGGTTTGACATCGTCGGGGGGGAGGTGAAGTGCTGCAAGGAGGCTGTCTGTGTCATTGACATGTCGTCCTTCACCAAATTTGAACTCACGGTAATGCTGCTTAAGTTCTGGACATCACAGTATTCTTCTCCACAGTCTCATCTCTAATTTAATGTTCACATTGTTGTAAGAATTGAAGCTGCAACTATATATGACAATAATAAACACGTGTTAATCTGATATGGTTTGCTCACTTTCTTGTTAGCATTTTGAAGCTGACCACACTGAATGTTTATATTGGATCTCGGTTGTGCATGTGAACCTAATGGGGTGTCTTCTGGTTTGTCCCACCGTCCTTTAGTCCTCGGGTGATGAGGCCCTGGACCTGCTGCAACACCTGTGTGCCAATGACTTGGACGTTCCAGTGGGACACATCGTCCACACGGGCATGCTGAACCAACGAGGAGGTTACGAGAATGACTGCAGCGTAGTGCGCCTCAGCAAGAACAGGTTAAAAAAAAAAAAAAAAAGATCTCAGAAGCAGGGGTTCTTACATTTTTGCAGTCTCGGGACCTCTCATATTGCCAAGTAATAATAACTATATATGGACCTCTATGTAACTATATATGGACATTTTTTTCAATTTATTTTTGTAATTATTTAAAAAAAAGTACAGTCATCTGACAGAGGGACCTCTGAAAATGCCCTCTCACAAAGGTTTATAAAGTCATATACTGTATATGCAAACTCTCAAAATGGTCGTCCTTGTTTCAAGCTAAGCATGAAAACAGTCATGAAAACTTGAATTTTCTGTCATGGAGCTTCCTAATCTATTCATTAAAAATGTGTTTGTCCAAGTTAGTCTTTGAAGGACCATTGGAAATTGCACCAAAACGACTCACTGCTCATCTCTTTTCAGGCTTTGTGGGTCTACTCGTGACAAATGTGCCTACCACATTTCATGTTGCCGAGTGAATATGCTGGCCACATGCGACAAGGGGAAAAAAATAGTCACTTTCCATAATTTAGTATCACTCATCTTTCTAGTATAAGTGCTCCAAACTAACACTTTTAACGTGAAGCGGTTGGGAGGAGAAGTTCATTCCAAGATTCCCGAGAAGATGAACAACTTTGCTATTGTTCTCTCCTCGGCAGTTTCTTCATCATCTCGCCAACAGACCAGCAAGTTCACTGCTGGTCGTGGATCAAGAAACATATGCCCAATGACCCGCACCTTCACCTCGAAGACGTCAGCTGGAAGTACACAGGTAAGCCCGCAATCCACTCCCGCTCACTGCACCTCCACGACAAAAACCACATCTTCTCTTTTCAGCTTTAAATCTGATTGGACCTCGTGCCACAGATGTTCTGGCAGAGCTCTCGTATGTTTCCATGACTCCTGATCACTTTCCCTCCATGTTCTGTAAGGTGGGTTGATGTTCTCATCCGCTGTCTCCAAAGTGAAACTTTGCAAAATGTTGCAGCAATTTGGTAGCAATGAAGAAACCGCGAGGTTCACTCTGCATTATGTTTCTTCGAAGAGTCAGGAGTTTGACTTATACGTGTGGGTGTACGACTGTTCAAATTGTCAATTCTTGGCAACGTTCTGTTACCGTGTGTTTGCAGGAGATGAGCGTGGGCTACGCTAACGGCATCCGAGTGATGAGTATGACCCACACGGGTGAGCCGGGTTTCATGCTGTACATCCCTATCGAGGTACGCTTGTCTTCATAACTTCAGCGACACGCTCCAAAGGGGAGCAAAACGTTCATCATTCAATACACCTGATATCTAGCTTAAGTCCCTTTAATTTGCATAAAACTCAAAAATATTTCCGAAGAACTTAGGGTACAACCTATATTTGTGTGATATTACAACATGCAGCTTATCATAGATACAATATAAAATGCCATACGCTATAACAGTCTATCGTGGATTTCTTTTGCGTTTATGGACAGTGTTTACATTAGGGGTGGAACGAAAACTGATTTGAATCGGAAAATCAATTCTGGTTTTAATCACGTGAGTGCATTGAATCGAACCGAATCAAATCGTCCTTGATTTGTATTGGGCCCAATGTATTGAGATATGTATCAACATTTTTTTTTTTTAATTGGGGATATAGCACACCCCAAATATATGTATATTTAGATATATACAGTGGGTCAAAAAAATGTATTCACACGTGAGTAAAATGTATTCAGACATGACATCTTCGATTACAAGACGTGCTCAAAGTGGCGGCCATTAGCTTCCAGACATTTATGTGCAAAGTGTGTACGTGGACCTTAAGATGGGTATCAAGGATATCGAATAGATGCTCAAAGGGCTTCCACAAAAATGCATGAAGGCTTCCTCCAGCTCTTCTTCTCTTCTTCGCAGTACGCGCTTCACGTGTACAACGAGGTGATGTCGGTGGGTCAGAAGTACGGGATCCGCAACGCCGGCTATTACGCACTGCGCAGCCTGCGCATCGAGAAGTTCTTCGCCTTCTGGGGACAAGACCTGGACACCTTCACCACGCCGCTGGAGTGCGGACGGGAGTTCCGCGTCAAGTTCGATAAGGTAGACAGACGGTGCAGCCAATATCGCATCACATCGTAACTGTACATGGCGATTCTTTTGTCGATCTGATTGAAATCATTCCGAATGAAGATTTCTGATCACAGGTTTCCATGTAAGGTGATCTTTGCCGATCTACCGTTTACATGCTCCGCTCCGCTACACTGACCACGTGACACGGGGAGATCGATGTAAACATCAGTTTCTCTTTTAGCACAGTAGCTGTGATAGTTTTACCGTCTTTATGAAAGCCACATCTTGATTGAAAACAAGTTACAGATACTTAAAAATCAAGTTCTCCCGTCGCGGACACGCTCCGGTAAGACATTGCCATTTTGGGTGTGTGTATACGCGATGAAGTCACGACAGACTTACGTTGAGACAGAGCTTGCGCAGAACGGACGCAGTTTGGCAATTCTGATTGAACATGTTTAGGTGTTTATCTGGAACATTTTCATTCCTTTTGTTTTTTTGCGAGTATGGGTGTGACGTACAAAGTGTGGCGTGTTCTGTTGTGTGCGTCTCAGGACACAGACTTTGTGGGTCGCTCGGCTCTGCTGCAGCAGCGTCAAGACGGCGTGTTTCGCCGCTTCGTCATGTTGGTCCTGGACGACCATGACACCGAGCTGGACCTGTGGCCCTGGTGGGGCGAGCCCATCTACTGCAATGGGAACCTGGCGGGGGCCACCACCAGCAGCGCCTACAGCTACACTTTGGAGAGACACGTGTGCCTCGGGTTTGTGTCCCCGCCCCCCGGACCCGACGGCCTGCCCGCCACCGTCACCCCAGACTTCATCAATCGAGGAGACTACGAGGTGGACGTGGCCGGGCAGAGATACCCGGCCAAGGCCAAGCTTTACCCCTTCAGCTCCCTCTTTAGTCAGCAGCACCGGAGACGCAAAGACGACCTGGAACTGAGCAACCTCCAGGGCGAGTGATGGCGACACATCGCTGCTCATGCTTACTGAAGTGCAATATTTGGCAAAAAAAAAAAAAAAGTCAGCCATTTACTTCATTGGTCTGGAGTCAAAGTGCCTTGATGGAGGCCAAATCAGCTCTCTAACGCGCTGGTCCACCACAGTCAAAGAAGACATGCTGGTCCTCCATCGAAGACATGTGAGTTGTCCACAGTCAAAAAATTCTCTGCTGTCGCTTCCTATTGCCATCTCGTTTGCACTATCGAACCAGGTTATTCATTTTCATACATACACGTTATGAGAAAGTGTTTTTTAAAATTGGACAAAAATGTTTGAATGTCGCAAGAATAGTGTGGCAACTTCATCTTTCGAGTGCAGTCATACAATGAAAAGTTGTAATGTGAATGGGGGGGAAGTCATCATATTAAGTTGAAACGTTAATTCTTTGAGGAATGAAAGTTGTAATTTATAACTTTTTTTTTTAATTGCAATGTTATGTATGATACAGCATTTGCATTTGATGGAAAAAAGAATATCACAAGGACAAGTTGCAATGTTATTTTGTTAAGGGGAAAAAAGTTGTCCTGACAAAAATAAAAATTGTAATTTGCTACAAGAGAAACTTGTAATTTTAGATGAAAAAGTTTTATGTTTAGAGAAAAACGAATGTTTACAACATTCATAATGTTAAAAATTTGTGTTTCTTTGAAAAAAAAAAGTCTGAACAGATGCAGAATAAAGTTAAGGGAAAAAGTTCTCATGACATAAAAAAGTTAGATCAGTCTTAAAAGTTGATTTTTTTCAAGGAAAATAGAATATTACACATAAAAAAGATTAATAATGTATTTTTTCGAAGGGAAATGACTCATTTCACAAGAATAACTGTTTTTAATTATTTTATGGAAATATACGACAGGCGTAATATGTTAAAATAGGCTTTTAGGGGGAAAAGAAGGAAAACGGGGAAAAAAAAACCCAACGTCATTATTACAAACTTTATAAAATCTCATTTTACACAATACTTTCTTTTAAAACTAAAAACCAATTTTTCCTTAAAATTTTTTTTTAAACTTAATTTTCATCAAATTACATTTCTTTCCTGGCTAGGACAACATAACCACTTTTTTCATTTAATTTTTTTTTAGTCCAATTATAACTGTACTGTCAAAACTTCTGTTTTGATTTTTTTTTTGGGGGTCATTACAATGATTCTCATTCAATGTATTAATCCCTGATATATTTTCCCCCAAGCAATCACACATAAATGATTTTTTTTTTATGCCTTTCCCCCCTCCCTCACATGATTGTCACCTAAAATAGCAACATTATTTTCTTGTATTATTCTTCCCTTTGATCCAAAGGGACCCTTGAATCTTGTACGTGTCAAGAAACGGAAAAAGAAAATCAGTGCAGTCCAAAACATTTTATTTTTGAATACTTTCAGAGGATGTTGTCGGTTTGAAACTATTCTGTTGGGCAATTTATGCCAGCCATGCTGTCAATGTAATCATATCCTGCAAGATATATCAGCTCATCTTAATCAGTGTGAAGTACTTTTTCATACGTTTTATCTCTGGATTGTGATGATGACCATGTTGCTTATGAAGGGCTATCTTAGCAAAAAGTGTGTGTCCTCCATTTTGCTGCACATCATGAATAACTTTCATCTGCCATTAAGGAACCTGTCAAATGGAAACGCAGCACTTGAGGATATATTCATATGAAGAACATCCAAAAGGTTGATTTTGTTGTTGTCTTGGCAACGGTGCATCATGTAAATAATACAAATAAAAAGTCAAGTGATGGAAGGTTGCAATGATCTCCTGTCTTCCACTCGTCTACTGCCCAAGTCGTCATGACGACCGGCCGTGTGTCCAAATGTTCTGATGAACCTTAAAATGGCACAGCGCGGCCAAGACATTTTGAAACAAAAAAAAACCCAAATGGCTTTTTTTACTGTGGGGGAGGATGATCACATCCTCCGGGCTTTGCGTGGACGGCAGCCGTTGTGCGGCACGGGTGTGTTGTCTGTGATGGAGACCACCTCCAGGCCCCCCATGGTCAAGCCTTTGATGGCCGACTGGGAGGGAAAGAAAAAAAGACAGGTGTGACATACAAATAGGATTCCTGGTCACGATGCCATTATAAACTTTTGATAAGTCACTTAACTGTAGTATTGACTCATATTAATGCTGAGATGTAAAAACTCACCAAGCGGCCCGGACCAAGACCTTTGACGATGACACGGACAAACGTCACCCCCTTGGCCGTTGCTTTCTTCTCAAAGGAGGGGCATGTGGAGGACAAATTTAATTCATTCATTCATCCATAAAAATACAATGTTGTGAATGAATAATGACTAATAAATACGTACAGCCGCAGCGGAGATGGCAGCGGTCTGTGCAGCGACTGGTGTGGACTTCTTGATGTTCTTGAAGCCTTCCGTCCCGCACGAAGTCCTGACCAAGGACTGGCCCTCGCAGTCTGTCAGCTGGATGTGTGTGCTGGGGGAGGAAAGTGTGTTCATGAGGAAATGTTATATCATGACGTCACCAAATGGAATGGGAAAGCTGCCTGGTTCACTGTGCCATTTGGTTAGAGAGGTGCTCTGTCCTGAGTTATTTCACACATCTCGATGTAAATACCTTAAAATAACAGCTGGAATTCAAAATGTTTGGCTCATATTTATCTTTTCCTCTGAAATAAGAAAAATGAACCCTAGAAAAATGCACCCGAGTACCTTGATTTAAGACTGCCCCAATTTAAGATTTTTTTTTAGTTATGATGATACTGTATGCCAGTGGTTCTCAAGCTATTCACACAAAGTACCAACATTACATGAGCATACTTGTTATATGTAGCTTTGATGTGCAGGATGGGCAACTCCTCAAACTTCTTTCCGCCCCACCTAAGGGGGCTGTCGTGGCCAGGCAAGGGAGGGAAATGGCTGCGGGTCCAAATCCAGTCAATCAATATGATGGGATTAATAATGACATCATATCCATAATGACATCAATTGAAAACAATTCACCTGAAGTCTCTGGAGGCTTCCGAGGAGTCTTTGCTGCTCGCTGCCACCTCCTGGAAACCGACGGCGGTGCCATGGAATGTCCGGCTGCTTCGAAATACAACATGTCATAAAAACACAAATTATCTGACTTCACATGAACGTACTTGCAACTGGCATCCATTAGCTATAACGTGCAGCCACTGTAGGTATGCGTGTACGATGTTTACATGGCGAGCGAGTTATCATTCGGCTCAAAAAACGACTTACAATGAGGTTCCTTTGGTTGAAGCTTGTCGACAAGCAGTACTCAAAGAATTTACGATTGAACACGTTAGTTTAAACATTTTAAAAAGGTGGAGACTTTACACAATTTAACCGCAAAAACACTACAAACGTGACATTGACTGCTTCCAGACACCAGTCCGAGTAGTACATGTCGTTACACTGGAAGGGTCAGTCATCACGACAGAATAATTACTAATCATTGAAAAGAAATATGTACTTCAAAAGATAGTCAATTGTAGTGAAATAAAGCAAGTATTACTTGGAATAATGCGTCTTAACATTTTCTGACAACATTTCACGTAATTTAAGATGATATATTAACAAAGATTTCACCCACAATAATAGAAATGGACTCGCCCGATTACTGCAAAGAATTGTGGGTGTAATTTGTAACATTCAGGAACCAATTCAAAACCTCGTATATTTTCATTTCATGAACAAGAACGCACGCGTCCGGTCCAAGTCTCTTTTTAGAGTAAATGTCATAAAATATTATTGAATGCATCAATTTAAAAGACATATTATTACTATTCCAACTCTTCTTAGAGTATGCTGAAATAAGATGAAAAGCGTAAATCCAGTACCTCTGACAATAAGGGTTTACGTTTGATTTTTTTTCTGATATTCATGAATGTCACAGAAGAAGATGGCGGCTCCCTGTGCAAGGGTGGCGAGTTGGCCACTGCTTCGTTATTTCTCCCGTTTTGAGAGGACCACGATCGCGAATTCTGTGTTTCGTCCGTTTTCCAACAGTTCCCTTCGCCGATCAAACTTGCGGAACAAATTAGCGCCGGAAACACCGCGGTCCCCATGGACTCTGATGGCTGCGGTGTGTTTGCAGCGCCCGCCGGTCATCTCTGCGGACTTGAGTCTGGTGGAGCAGCGCTTTGCTCGCCTGATGCAGCAGGTGCGTTTGACACAATAACAATAAGAATCATAATAAATCACAATTCGGCATTGATTGTGTCAGCATGTTGAAGTTCATTTTCGAAAATTGACACAGAAAGAAAATCCAACATATGACATTATGCATGCATGTACTGTTATATGATACATGATATAGATGTAATGTTAACATATTTGAATGGAGGACTTGTTAAAACCTAGAGAAAAAGGGTCCCCACGATGTCACCAAAATGTCATAAAATCCTCAAAACTATGACATTTTCATTGATTAATGAAGGACTTTCTGTAATCCAAGGAAAAGGGTTCCGCGTTTTGTAACTGTGTACTATCTTATCAGATGGAGCTGGAGAAAAGCATCCTGTCTGAGCATGAGCTCCGTCTGCTGGAGGACGCGGAGAGGCTGAGGAGAAAGCAGGCGGATGAGGACGAGGATGACGATGACGACGAGCGCAAGGAGCAAGACATTGTACTAACGCAGGACTTGGAGGACGAGTGGGAGCGCAAATTCAAGACATTTAGGCCTGCGCCCAGAAACACAGGTTACGAATACTTCAACCTACTATTACTTCTAAAACTATACTAACTGTACTTCCGACTACTACTGCGAATACTTTTGCTCCTTTTCTTTCTACTCCTTTTTCTGTTAATACTACCACCAGTATAACTATGACTACTGCTACTTCTATTACTGTTACCACTACTACGACCACCATTACTAGTGGTGCCACTACCACTGCCATGCGACTGCTGCGATGTCTTCCTCTGCTCCTTCTACTTGTACCTCAACAGCTAGTTGTTATACTCCTTCTATTCTTCTCGTGCTTTTATCACCTGTGACATTTCCCATGGGCTGCCGGGTGTCACAGTTGTTCCCCGGTTGCTAAGCGACGCCGTCACCATGTGTCTGCACAGATGACGCGGATAAGGACCTGAGCTCGTCGGGGCGCCTGCTGTCCGACTCGCTGGTGCTGTTGGCCGAGCAGCAGGTGGGAAGTGACAAGCTGTGGCTGCTGCCTCAGGCCCAGTGGCGCCCGGGAGAGACGCTGAGGCACACGGCACAGAGGGCGCTCGACTCCCTCGCAGGTATTTAGCAGCCATGAACCCCTGCCGGCTATGTTGGAGTGTGTTACTTTTGGTGGCTCCTGTTTTGTCACTTGAAATTTTCAAACCATTTTTCACTAAAATGTGAAATAATAACCACTAAAACCACCACTGCTCCTACTTCTAATACCACTACTTCCTATTTATACATGTACTACTGAACAGATGACTGACAGCTTGGTGTCCTTTTTCCGTGTTCAGAGCCCACCATCAAGGCCAACTTCCTAGGCCAGGCACCATGCGGCGTGTACAAGTACAAGCTGCCCAAAGCGGCCCGCAGCGACACCTCGGTGGGCGCCAAGATCTTCTTTTTCAAAGCCATCCTGACACCAGACACCCCAACCAACGCCGAGCCCAACGCCGCCCTCATGTGGCTGAACAAACGAGAACTGCAGCGCTTCCTGAAGCCGGCCTACATGATGAAAGTGGAGCGCTTCATCCTGAGCCCATGAGTCGCAATA